GAGAGAGGAGAGCGGATAGTCGTTCGTTGACACAGGATTAGTGCTACAAGGCGGAGCTAAAAGAACTGACCGCCCGAGAGTCTCCAATTTTTTAGGAATTTTCTTAGCAAGGCGGGCTCGAACGACCTCAGAAAAAATAGATTTTGTCTTCCTTTGCTTTCAAGTTGAAGGCGTTGCCATCAAGCTGTCAACGATTCTTCCCATCACTGACACTGGTATTAGTTGATGCCGGTCTTCAGCGCAAAGGCCCTCCCGTATTGCGCCAACGACTCAGGAAGTTCGAATTCAGAGGGAGTTGGGTTTTTACTGTCAGAACTCCCGAATCGTTTGAGCAAATCTACTGCGGCTCGTGGATTTGTTAGCACATTGCACCCAGTCCACATCACCAATGAGTATTATAGATGGTCATCCGAAGGAACTATGGGAAACCAACAGGAACTTGATGATGTCAGATTGGGTTGAGAACTGATTCGGGACTACAATTTTCCTTCGATCAGAACTCTATGAAAGTCCACAATAGAGGCACTGAATACCCACCCTCGCATTGGTGATATGTTGTTAATAATAATGATGTATACTATGCTGGATAAGTAGATCAGAGAAATAAGATAAGTAATAAATCGAAAAACACCAAAGGTTCTCAAAAATTGTGGACCGACCTAATACTTGAAATGCAGGTAGAAGAAAGATCAAGTCGAACGAGAGCAATAGCTGGCCCTTATCATACAGTGCCGCAATCATGCCTTTCCAGTGAAAAAAGGACAGGCTCAAAATAGGACGTTACCACGTCGGCTCCTAACGTTTACCAGGAAAGCGCCATCTATCGTTCTCTCAGGTAGGCCTCTAATCTCGCAACAAGGCATCTTTCCCCTTTTGTTAGCACGGGCTTTGTTTGTAACAGACGCATTGTGTTTCAAGAAGGAGAAGCGTCAAAGGCTTACCAAGAAGAGGAGTACAGCCTCTACTATGAGTAATTGAATAGACTCTTCTTTTCCCTCTGACGGTACAGTGAGGCTTCCATTAGATACCATCAGATATCGTTTCTGAAAGTTGTGTATGGACAGATCAGGAATTATTGCCACTGTGCTAAAGTATAAGGATCACGATAATAAATATGGACGGAGTTTAAGAGCATGGTTGACCTCAAAAATAGGCTGCAATTGGTAGACTGGCATGGCTCAATTACTGCTGGTGATATCTGCAGAATTTTAAACTTCCACAATCAGTTCCACAAGTTCAGAGAAATGGATGTGATGTTGTGTAGCGCTATCGTACAACAGCAGGGTTTATATAGTAGCAGCCTTCATATTCAGCACGTTCTGCGAATGTGTGCGCCTGGTCCATAGCAATAACAATTATAAAATCCAGGAGAACTCTCTCGTTCTATTCAAACATTGTCTGTTGAATGACGGCGCTACAATCAACTCAAAGTAAGCTATTCTTATAAGAACTCTATCCTACTTACTATAAAGCGCTTCGTGTGTCGTCTGTCTGTCGTTCTGTATGACTGTCACGTGATTCCCTCTTTCCTGGGGATCCGTCTGGGGAGACCGGGTAGTGCGGGTCAAGGTTCGCGAAGTACAAAACATACATCAGCTAAGCGGAGCCTCCGCCCACAGTGGGCGTGGCGTGCATCGAAATGAGTGTACTGACGACCAAGATTTCAATTTCAGTGACAAAACAGCCTCGAAACTAGGGGTAAAGGTGTGCATTGGTAAGTCACATCGAATTAGGGAGACCCACCCCGGTGGGCGGGGCGTTCTCTAAAAAAGCAGTGCTTTATGAAAAAATTTCATAACTCGGTTGGGAGAAAGCCTACAGAGCAGAAAACAAGTGTAGGGGAGCAATGTCTAAGGTTTCCCAGCATACATGACGTGGGCGGAGGCCCGCCCACAATGGGCGGGGCGCGCTCTGAAGTGTACAGCGTTTTCTACAAGTCCTCATAATTCGGGCCGGAGAAGTCTTAAGAGCCGGAAAAAGGTGGATAGAGGTGGGTGGAGAGAGGCCAGCTGTCATCGGTGGGCGGGCATGACCAAAGTGGGCGGAGTTTGCGACGGAAATTCATTCAAATATGTAACATTTGAATGTTTCAAGCGCTTTCATGCCTTCGAGGACGACGAGTTATTCGAAGCACCAAGCTAAATGAAGATTTTACCGTAGAAAACCTGTGTGGCACACAAACAATAAGCAGTTGTTCAAAATCAAAATGCCCAGACTCCAAGAAAGGTGGACATGGGAAACTTCGGAGAATATTACTAATTCAGATTCAGAAAACACTCGTGATTCAATGTAAAGGCCAACCGAATTTGTGCATTTTTTTCAAGGTTTTCGACATCGACAACTAGATGTTTACCGTGTCGTAAAAGACACTCTAAAGGCAGTCAAGCATGTTCCCAGCAAGTTTTCAGGAAGGCTTTCTCATCCACAACCGCTGCGAGGAGCCAAAGCAGAAATGCGCCGGAAAATCATCAACTAGGGTTTACAGGCAGGGTCAACCGCTCGTTGCGCACCGCTAAGAACAACGAGGGGGTCGTATTCGGCCGAACGAAAGGCGAGGGGCTCGTATTCGGCCGAACGAAAGGGGAGGGGTGGGGGTCGTATACACAGGGACCCACGGTGGAATGCATGAAGAAAACAGGTTTTCCCGTAACAGTGCAACGCAACTGCCATCAGACACTGTCACCGTCTCCAGGGAGACACTATCACCGTCTCCAGGGGAGTGGAGAACTTTCATATGCTAGTGTGACTGCTTATCACAAATAGGTGCACGGCGTACCCCGAGCAGGAGTTCAAAACGCTTTGTCTGTCAGCGGCCGTAAGCAGACAAATTTCCTCAAAAGAATCTCTGATGTCTTCAAAAAAACCTAAGTGAAACAAGGTTAGAACTTGCTCAATTGACTTCTAGGGACCTTCTCGGACATTCTGGCAGGAAGGAAAAATTTTACGTTGTAGAGCACTCTTCATGTAGACTTCAATACCTTTTACCGCTTATCATTGTACGAATTTTGAGGGAAATTATGGATGTTTGAAGATTGCAAAGTCGCGTTTCAGGAAAATGGCTTGAAAAAATCAAGGGGAAAAACGGAACAACGGGACTATTTTTTGAGCGAGTGATTTCAAAAGTTTTAGCACTTATTCGAAAGCTCTAATCCTTCTAGTTTCTAATTAGCCTTAGACATCTGCAAAAAGTTGATTATGAAGAAAGTTATGAACGTTTGAATGTCGAAAACTCGCGCCTTCTCAAAAATCGGACCACAAACCCCCAAAAACGGAACAACGGGACTATTTTTTGAGAGTGATCGCTGGAAAATTTTCAGGTGCTTGTTTGAAAGCGCTAATCTTCTAGTTTCTAATTAGCCTTAGACATCTGCAAAAAGTTGATTATGAAGAAAGTTATGAATGTTTGAATGTCGAAAACTCGCGTGTGCACAAAAAACGGAACAACGGGACGATTTTTTGAAAATATGAACATTTGCAACATTTCAAATACTTTTTAGGAAGAAAACTATTTTAGTTTTTAAATTTTTGTGTCCGATTTCATGAGACCGCTTCTGAAGAAAAATATAACCTTCTGAATGGAGGGGTTTGGATTGCAACGTAATTGCTACAAGGTTTAGTTTTTCAGATTATAAAATAAGGAAAATTGAGAGATCGAAAAAAACTGGTAGGTTTCTGAAAGTAGAAATCTTTACGATTAAAATGATGTATTGGTTTACGCAAAAATTTGGAAATTCCTTCTATTTAATGAATAAAACTTCATTTGCCTCGATTCCCTCCTCTGAGCGAGACAAAGCGCGCGGATTGACCACGGTCCACCACTTCTCCATGTTGGTGACTGCCATCAATGATGAGCATTAAATTATGTGAAAGACATGATAGTTAATACGGGGGTCGTACCGATACCCTCCGAAAAGGAAAGGGGTCGTAAAAATTTTGGAATTTGCGCAACGACGGTTTGATCCTGTGAACAGGGTCAGCCCGTCGTTGCGCGGATTCCAAAATTCTTGCGTTAAAGGCAAAGTTCGGGCTCAGACCCACTTAATGAGCCTTTACGGTGGCTAGAAGCGCTAGGTACGCAAGTGTAGAGGTCGCGTCACTTCCCTACTTCGAAAAGCGTTACTTAGACGCTAGGCGCTAAGAACTTTGACACGCTCCACCTGTTGCGACACGCTCCGCCCACCGCTCGATATCTTGTCTGCGTCGCAATGTTGATCTGCTATGCTCGGACTTCTCTAGCGCTCTCCGCGCTCACATTATCTCTCATCTCCCTGCCGGCCTTTTGAACTTCTCCGCAGCGTAGAGCAAAAGGCTCGTATTTCCTGTGTATTTCACGATTTTTTTCTTTTTCTCCACTGGCGGTCCACTCCTACCCCTACTTTCACATTTGAGTGGAATTACCTCATAATTCAATCCTGAATCTTGCCTTTAAGTCTCCTGCCACCTAACACATATAGTTTGCACAGCTGGAGAAATGCCAAGTATACATATCATATCCATTCAAACATCTTTTTGTCTGCAAAGAACTTAGCCAAATTTCCATCCAAGAGCTCAAGGTTATATAAAATTAGGCGAGCCACGAGGAAGCAGAATACAGGGCTCAAGCCAAAAGCGACCGCTTTCTCTACGGTCTTGATGGCACACCTCAGGATCAGGCTGCAATGGTTCCTGTACACAAAAATAAAAGTATTGGTGCAAAACGGACCGACTTTGAAGAAAAAATGAGAAGAATCTGTTCAGATTAAGGACTTACACACCTGGAAGATTTGGTCAAGTTAAGCTGTTCAGAAGAACTTCGACAATTGCATCAGCTTGTTAACGCTCACCGTTCAAAATGAAAAGGTTGCGCTCTCAAGCGGTTGTTTTCCCAAGTAGTGCCGGTTTGACAAAATTTTTCAAATGTTCACAACCTTCTTTTCAACCATCTTATTCAAGTGCCATATTTACCACAGTTGTGTACAAGAGTTCCACCCATCTGCAAGTGAATTGAATATTTCTCACAGAACTATGCAATCTTCGAAGTCAAGAATTAGTGAACGTCTGTTTTGAGTTGCTCGCGACATACGAGGTTCTCCTCGTCAGAGAAACGAGCCAAGAACACACAACAACAGCAAACAAAACTGGCGTTTGGTTGCTATACCTCACTGAACTAGAGAAAGCGTGAGGAGATCATGAAGCCAAGTTTCTGTATAGTATTCTGGCATTCCCTCGTTTCATGTGGCTGGTAGAAGCAAATTTATCCAGCTGTATGCAGTGGGTATCTGCCCCAGAAGTTGCTTGATGCTTGTAAGGATCCTACAATCCTACAATCGGGGAGCGAAGCCTACTGCGGGAAAGTTCACTGGTGCTCGTTGTCGCTGCTCCACGTTCCCACTGGATGCCTCCGCAGGTTTTGAGTAGATTGCGCGCTCCTCATCTCCAGTTACCTCTGGTCGAGCTAATCGAAACCACGACTTTTTAAAAGGTAACTTTGAAAGGTGATCACATATGTCCTTAGAGCCACCTCGTCCAACTCGTGAGAATTCCATCATTCCAGCGTGTACAATTTCTCCATGGCTCAAAGGGAACGACACATGGTGTACTGAGAGGACTGAAGCTGTAGTGCAAGACGGGGGCCGGTACCAGGTTGCCTTCAAGAAGCTCTCGCATGCGTTCAGTAACTATTGGGGGTGCGAAACGAGGTTGTTCTTCAGAGCCGTAGTTACCTTGACGGAGCTTCCCAAACCACTTTCAACACATGTTCTCTTAGAGCGTCCTTGTCCTTGCTCCTCCTCCAGAAGACCCCAGACGGAACTCGTAAACGAGAAAGTGTCGAACATTTGTTGAAATGGAGGGCATTATTTCCCCCTAAAACGACCACTCACAGCGGAATTCCGTAATATGAAAGGGTACTAAGGTCGTCACATAATCCTTTGCGGAGAACAACCACTAGCATTTTTGAGGAAAAACGGCGTGGGTATGAAGAAATCGGCACTAACTCATGACTCAACCTAATACACTACGTTTTCATATATTTGCAGACGCTAGACTGCAG